ACAGCCCACCCAGGTTGATGCTCTTGCTCCTTCTCGGCGTGCTCGGCTGTGCCGTGGGGAGGGTGTTGTGTGCAGGGTGCGACGCCTGTACGAGTATCCCAATGGCTCTGGGAGCGCCCAGGTGTGGATGGGACCCATGGCACCATGGGATGTATGTGCTGCATGGGGAGGTGGGCACTGGCAGAGTTGGGCAGATGCCCTGGGGCTGAGCCTCTGCGGAGAGTTACCATTGCCCCGGGGCCAAGACCAGGCTGCATCCTGCACTGTGTCCCCAGGGAGTGCTCAGGACTGGGTAGAGTGAGATCCTGGGGGCAGGGGGTGCAAGGGGCACGCCATCACCACCACACTGCACCGCAGCCCGTGCAGAGGCACACTCATGTTGTTTTCGGCAGAGGCTCCCGCCTCCACGGCAGCACAGCCTGTTCCCCGCCTTGTGCAATGTCCCCCAGAAAACCGCAGAGGAACCAAGTCACCCTGACACAGCCCGCCTGGCTGCGCTGCCACCGGCGATACAGCGGGCGCCTTCCTGGGGAGCCTCCTCACCCCCACCACCGGGAAGAGCTCCACAACCCACCGGAGCGAGAAGGCACCCAGCAGCATCCCTGCAGGAGTGCAGTGTGGTGCCAGCGAGGACCCAGATCCCGCTGGGGTGCAGCCCTGCTCCCACAGTCCCCCTGGCTCCGCCCTGGGGACCAGGGCAGCTCACTGGTGAGCGGAGGCTTCGGAGGCACCTCCTGAGCATGAGCAGGGGACAGCTGTCCCCACCACAGATCCCCAGTGGGTGTTTGAGCCAAAGGGCGTCTCTGAACTGCAGGGTGTCTTTGGGCACATCTCCCAGCGTGACGCCTGGCCCTCTTTTTCCAAGAGGAAAGCAGCACCCGATAAAAATCTTTCTCACCATTTGAAAGTGTTTGGCCACAGGAAGACACGTTATCTGAGTGCCGCCCTGGCTTGGAGAGGGTGAGATGGTTGCAAGGATTAGCCAAGGCCAGAAGGACAAGGATGCTTCCAAGACAGCCCACAGGCCATGGCACCCCGAGTCGCCCACCCACAGGGACTCCCCGACTGCAGGATGCTGGGGTAGTTCTGGGCAAATCACTTTTGCCCACTCCTCTTGGTCCCTCTCAGAGACGTTTCTTTCAACTCGGCTGCGGAACAGCTTTCTGCCTCATGCCTTTCCCCTGCCACGCTGGTGATGGAGAGCCTTTTTGCTGGGCACCACTGCCAGCGGGACACCCCTGCCTGCGCTGTCTGCCGGCTGCCTGGCGCCTGGCAGCAGCAACACGTGTGCGGCACAGATAAAGGTTCGCCAAACAGGATGCCGGGGGCGTAGATAATGCCGAAGTTATCTCACCGCTTGTGTGGGAGAGAGTAAACAAGCGGCTCTGCCCACCCAGGGAATCCAGGAAGCACCTCTGCCCTGCCGGAGAGCTGGGGCACAGGGCGGGTATGGGGTGCCAGGGTGCAGATCTGGCCAGGGACAGCCCCGCAGCCATGCTGGCAGCCCTTGCCCTAAGCAAGAGCAAAGCCAGCCAGCACGCAGACCTGCTCTGGGAAATGCAATTGCTCTGCCCACGCCCTGCCCGGCTCCCCACAGCACTGTCCGTCCCTGGAGGGCTGGGGGCACCAATCTGCCTGGCCACCCCTCTGTGGCACCCATCCGCCCAGTGCCAGGGCAATACCTAGAGCCATCGGGCTGGCTCGGTGCAGGGGCAACAGCCCCAGGCAGCGGAGGCGTTGGCGGCCGTTGGCCGGGGCATATGGGGCGTATGGGGAGCAGGCCATAAGCACCCCGACATCACCAGTGCTTTTGTCACGTGTCTGGTTTAATGTGTCTTCTCCCGTCTCACAAAACAAGCCCAGGGACGGACTCCCCTGGCCACCACCTCTGTCACCTCCCGTGCACTATTGCCTGCTCCCCTCCCCTCCCATCTGGCTCTCTGCAGCGCAAGCTCAGTCCTCCCCTGCTCCCTGGGCAGAGCCATCGCAGCCCGCCCGGGGCCACCAGATGAACGTACTCAGCACCGAGAGCCGTGTCTCCAGCCAGGACCAGCCTCTGCAGAGCAAACTATGTCCTCTCCTCCTGCCAGAAAATCCCGTGGCATCGCCTCCGGCGGGCACTGAGCCCAGCTGTGTTTTCCCGTGGGACTGACGCATTCTTGAGGACGTTCTTCACCTTTTGGCAGGCCGAGGCTGAGGGTTCCCCTTCTCTTTCTCACCTCCCTGCTTCAGCTCTGCCAGCAGTTTGATGCTTTCTCTCTGTTATCTGTCTGCTCCAAGGCGATACTATGTTCTGCAACTTGCCAGTCTATTTAAATTGCTGATTTATTTTCTGCAGGTAGGCAGGTGCCAGCACAACATGCGTTTTAAGGTCTTTTTTACATCTCAACCACTTTGCTTTAGTGCATCTACAAAGTGCCCAGTCCGTGCTGTTTCACCCTGTGCAGCATCCCCCAGGTGTGCAGCCCCGGGGACGGGGTAGCCCCATCTGAAACGCCGCTGCTGTCCAGCTGTCCAGCTCTCCATGCACGGGGTCGGTGATGCCTGCTGAAGCTGCCTCTCTCTAACAGTCCTGACTTTTGGGGCAAGCCCCTGCAAGAGAAAAACAAAAGCTAAAATAACGAGGAGAAGGACATTCCTCATAATTCATTGTCACCTTTGAAATTAATTCCTCCTTTGACCTCTTGCAGCTCTGCTTTAAGAGCGAGCATGTTACCAATGTAACCGTGCTTTGGCAACGGGCAGAGCGGGACAGGCTCTGCCACAGCTCAGCAGCAAAAGCAAGAGTTGGTTTCTGCTAGGGAACAGCAAGGCAACGCAGTGCATCCCTGGCCTCTTCTTATTTTCACTTACCTCTGAAAGAAAAAGGACTGTTTTGCAGAGAGGTGTTTCGGGTGGTCTCACCGGCCCGAGAGGAGGCAAGGCAGGACCTTCTCCCTCCACCCCATCCCTGCTGCTCCGCTGGGGACTTGGCTGGCCCAGCCCCACGCCGGCACCATACCTGGCTCCTCAGGGGGAGCAGCGTGCAGGGGCAGCATCCTGGGCTGCCTGGCTCTGGCTGCAGCCACCAACTCTCCTCTGCGGCCTCTGGTGCTGTCACACTGTCATCACATGAGGGCTTGCCAGTGCCCCACGAGAGCTAGAAGCTCGCTTTTGCTCTGCGGACGCTGACATCCTTCGGCAGAGGCATGGGGCCGGGAGCAGCGTCTGCCGGTGCAGGCAGTGAGCGGAGCTGTGCCGGCTGGAGCGCCCGTCCCCTCTGCTGCGGGGGTGCCACGAGGGTACCGTGGGGGTGCCGGGGGCTGCTGTGGTGTGTCCGCCAGCCCACACGGCATTGCTCTCCACGATGAGCCGGAGGAGCCCTGCCCCGGGGAAATCCATGATGACCACCCCCCAGCGCACAGGCTGCCCCCTCCGGCGCCGCAGGTGCTGGTAGCAGCGGGGGTTCACGAAGCGGGCCACCTCCTCGGGG